AACCATCCTGCCCCACTCCACCGCTTTCCCACCCCCACCACCACCACCAGTGCCTCAGCTGTTTCCATAGCAGGCAGCTTAGCAAATCTTGACTACTGTGCCCAGCTGCCTTGGACAAACAAAACACCTCAGTGGTAGGCCCATCAAGTGGCAGCCTTGTACCAGAAACTCCAAAAGATGCTCTGTTGAAATAGCAACGTTGTACAATGGTTCATTCATTACTGATTAAAATCAGGCAAGCCAAATGCCAGAACTCACCCAGAATTCCATTGCAAAAGGATAGGTTCATGGAGAGTTAATGCTAATAGCCAAGTTGAATGCATTGCCATAGTGGCTGATTAACTTGTTCTTTAACTTTCGAATAAATGCACGTGTTTTTAAAAATCTGTTATTGATAGGGTAGTAAGCACACAGTGTGGTATCTGCTATTTTAGAATACCAGTTGGCAGATGGCAGTACTGCATCACTTGTGCCCACACAAATCTCTTAATGAGCTTTTTTACATAGAAGAGTCTGAAGAGAGGATTTAGGAGTTGATGTGCAACTCAATGGAAAATAATATACCATCTTTCCATGGATCCAAAGCTGAAATCACCATTATTTGTACACATGTCAAAAGAAACAGATACCAGCAAGTAGTATAATATTAAGCAGTGTTTATGTTTGGTCTTTTATGGGCAGTCTCTATCTGGACTCTTTAAAGCTTCTCTTCCTTGTGCCTGTTTAATTAGTTTCATGTCAGGTCTGCTGTACTGTATGAAACTTGACATAGGATTTTTGGATGAAAGCTTAACTACAAATATAGTTAAACAAGAATTTTCAGTTAGAACTTAAGATTCTATAAAAACAAAAAATGCTTCAAAACAAACAAATAAACCCCTACCAAAACTCAGGACTAGTGGATAAAACTCGAAAGTGATTTAAAAGGCAGAGTAAATATTATCCCCATTCCATAAATGAAGAAACAAATGTGTCCTATAACTATAAAATGGATCATTAAAAATAATTGCAGGAAACATTTTTAAATATATGCACTAACCTGTTTTTACTGTACATATTTCTCCAACTTCCTATAACCTTTAAAGTGTTACACATATTGTGTTTATCGGGACATAAGGAGTTGCTGGTAAAAGAACATGTAAACTGATAGCCTAATGTAAGCACCAACGTTCCAAAATTTGATCTCTTTAATATGTTGTCAAAATGGGGATTTAAACCTTACCATGTCAGGTGTTTGATGGCTACTTATTTTCAAAATATTTATGGTAATAGAAAGTTTAGTCTTTGCATTTATTTTTATAGCAGAGGAATTATTTTTAGAAGAAAAAAAAGCACCTATTGTGTTTATACAATAGTAGCCAACCTGTGAGGAAATTAAGTGTAATTTTGACTTTTCTGAAATAAATACACATAAGAGTATAGCATCTAACTAACTGCTATTGACTTTGCTGGGTCTGGAATTTGTGCTGGAAAGCATACTTTATTATACTGCAATTAGTACAGCAGCCTTGGGGCAAGGAAAGTATGTCTGTTGAGTTATGCAGCTCCTGTTGCCTAAGCAAAGTGTTAGCTGGTCACTAATTCTTTTCTTATCATTACAAGGAAAATAATTCAATTCTCTTTTTTAAATAGGATGATTTTGACTTGGACTGTAATACCGAGAGACAACAAAGCCCCACCTTAAGTGGGGATTGCAAAGACTTGATAGACTTTCCCAAAATGTGCCACTCAAACCAGGAATATTACTTGAAGCTGCAAGAGCTGAAGAATGCCCATCTGGAAACAATGGCCAAACTGGAAAGAATGTATCAGAATAAGCTGCATTTGAAAGGAGTGTACTCCTTGGGCAATAAGGATGCTTCTCCCAGTTTGTGTTATAGGTAAGTTTAATAATTATCTGTGCTTCTGTAGTGCTTTTCTTCTGAGTCCTAGAGTTCCTGGCCAGAAGGGACTACCAGATCATTTACTCTGATCTCCTGTACATCCCAGGCTACTAATATCACCCAGACACCTTCACACCAACATCAGTAACCAAAATTAAACTAAAATATTGTGAGCCACGGACAAAGAACATGAGGGACCCAGGTGCACCAGTGCCCCTGTAATGGCAAGCATCTGATGAAGTATGATACATCTAGATGATCTCAAAGCATTTTGCAAATATTAATGAACACAGCACTCTTTTGAAGCACAGAAATATTACTGTGCTCATTCCACACATGTGGTCTCTGAGGCATAGAAAATATAATAACCTAATTTCAAAGGTGCTGAATACCCTTAGCATCTATTGAACTTACCTTCATTTTCAGAAGCATCAGTGATTTCCCCTCAGAGCTACACAATAAGAATTGCAGATCATCATTCATCCAAAAATATTAAAATACTTTGCAAGTATTAAGTAACCCTCACAACTTCCTGTGGAGGGGCAGACATTATCCCTATTCCAGCAATCCTCAAAGTAGGCCGTGGGCCCATGCTGCTTTGTTTATCTAAAGGGTCCATAGCCATGGAGCCTCGTGGCTCCCTTTGGCTGGAAATGGCAAACTGGAGCCAGCAAACCCACTTTGAGAAACACCGCTATTCTTTAGATGAGTAACTGACGTTAAAGTGAGTTGTCCATTGGCACACAGTGAATACTGACTCCCGTTCCTCTGTCTAGCCATCATGTTTCTCTTCCATTTCTGTTTCTTGGGAAACCCTTTCCAGTGATTTTCCTTCTCTAGTTACCAGCACAGCTGTGGGTTATATTCATTTTGGATATTTAAACCACATGCAGATTCTGGCTGAAGGACTTGTTTTACAGCAGTGGTAGGGTTGCCTGGTATCCGGTTTTGAACTGGATAGTCCAGTATTTGAGCTTTCTGTTTGGGGAAACAAACTGAGAAAATATAAATGTCCGGTATTTTCTAAATAATATGTAATGTAGATTGTGATGTAATGTCAAGTGTGTCCAGTATTTTTGTTGAAACCATCTGGCAACCCTAACTGCCGTGGTAATCAATCTTTACAAGGTAACACCTCTCCCCTTATCTCTGTCCACACCCTCTCACACAAGCTAAGGCCAAGTGGATGAGGGAGGAACCACGGATTGAGTAAGGGAGCCGAGGCGTGGGGTGGACCTAGTCCAGGAACAGAGCTATAGCCAGGCTGCATTGGGGCCAGCAGCCAGATGCAGAGCCATGCCAAGGCTGAGGATGGGGACAGACATGGACCAGGAACTGAGGCTGAAAGTGGTGGTGGGGTAGGGCAGGGCTTGGCATTCCTTCCCTCCCTCCAACCTGTGGCCACTGTGCCCCCGCACCTTTGCCCTTGGATATTCTTCCACCTCCCACCCCCCACCTTAGGGAGCCATGCCTCACAGTTTGGGGATTTCTGTTTTACAGTAGAGATGTAAAAAATTAACCGGTTACTTGGTGAGCAGTAGGATAACTGGAATGCTTATCTGATAACCAGTTAACTAGACCTTGTCCAAACCCCAGTGGATGACCAACTGTACCTGGCCATAGCATCCCCAGGTGAGTTGGGGTAGCAGGCAGATCCACATCTGTGTTGGGAATGTGGAGTCCCAGCCATGCAGTGGGCAGGCATGACTCTGGTCATTTCCATGGTCAGGCTGGCAGGTGGAGCCACGGCCATAGAGGGCAGGCCCTGGCCACTCAACAGGTGGGTGGGCAGGGCTACAGCTGTGCCAGAATGGTCTCAGACCCATCCATGGTAGACAGGCTGGCCTGAAGTAGCCCCCACCACACCTGGCAGGTGGGACTCCTGACCCACAGACCCGGCAGGACCACAGCCCCAACTGTTCTGCACTATCCTGTGAATGGTTAAACAGTATAATTTTAATTGTTTAGCCAGTTAACTATTTTAACTGATATTTACATCCCTATTTTACAGCAATGTTCTTTGCTATCAATGCTATTTACAGCATTTCTTCTATACCTTTTAGAACAAGGTATTCTTGTCTGTGACCCAATATGAAAATAAACTTGCTACTTTCCAGTTCAATATAGATTTCTAGTGCTCCTAGAATCATGTCTTGTGCCCTAGTAAAAAACTGACTAAAATGGGTGCCGCTTATTTGGGCTTCTAAATCTTGTAATAAAATCATCTTCTGATTATTGTATATCACTACTAACTATTTTAATGAGCCTAGTTCTAAGCTATTTTCAGTTATAGACACACACCCTTTCAATTCCAGTCTATGGAGAAAGAAGGAAAAGAATCAACTTGGCCTTCATTCTACAAACAGTTCAGTCCATGAGTAAATACATTTTCCTTTTAAACAAAGTGTTAAGTGAGAAATCCTCAAGGCACCATTTTGGGCACATAGCAAGAGCAGCAGCTGTCCACCGGGACGTTAAGGAAGTGAGGGGAAAGTGCTTGCATTTCATGTATTCTGTGAGCTTCATTAGCCAGGTGTGAGAGGAATGCACAGAATGTAAGCACTTTCCCCTCACTCCCTTAGCGGCTGGGGAACGGGATGAAAAGCTAGCCACGTCCCGGAGCGCACGGCTGCTGCTCTCCTTATGCACCCAAAATGGCTCCCTAGGAAATCCTCCTGAGACAAACCCTTAAGAGCAAAGAAATGCCAATTTGCAAGATACCTCTTACTTATTTTCAATATATTTGAACTACCAATCCCAGCTAGAGATGATGCATCTGGTTATTATTGTTAATCTTAAAACTAACTTTGTAAAAATATACTTACTGCAGTAGTATCTTAATACCTCAATTAGGTCACAACCCTGTTTGGCTAGAACATAAACACACATAGTAAATACGAGTTTCTATGCTGCTCAGTCTCCGCGCTCTTGCAAAAAGTAGAGTAATGCTGCTTACCATCCTTGGCAAAGTGCCTTTAGATTTACAGCTGGGAAAAAGAGTGGAATGTTTTATTGTTGACTTTTGGCTCAAGATTAAACCTGTTACACCTAAAATTATTTTTTCCTTTTTTAGATCAACATGGGATAAGAGCTCATTTCAGCCTCTGAATTTGCATAAATCTTTTTCCGAGTCTGACTTAAATGATCTGCCCTATTCAAGTTTATCTGATGGGTCTGCTATAGAATTAGAGTTGGAAGAAGCAAATGGTAGTGAAACTGGATCACTGACATTTGCTAAGGAGCAAATAAAAAAAATGTGGGATGGATTTTCTGTGGAGGATTATGTCTATTGCACTAAATATAGCTTACCAAATTCACCAACATTCAGAATGATGGGAAAGAAGCAGAAAGAGTGGTCACCAAAGGTCACGGTGCCCAAGCCTTTCCAGATGACTATTAGAGAAGCTAAGAAAAAACAACAGAATGTCAAATCAAAGTCACAGATAGAAATGGAAAATAATTTATTGAAGAAGCAACTAGAGGAAGAAACAGAGTGTCAAAAAAAATTCCGAGCTAACCCTGTGCCTGCTTCTGTCTTCCTTCCGCTCTATCATGAAATAATGGAAAGAAATGAAGAACGCAGGAAGTCTGTGAAAGAGAGAAGCAGAGATATTCTTTTGGCCTCCCAGAAACCATTTCAGTTTATTAAGAGGGAGGAGCAAAGAAAAGAAATTAGGAAAATGCAATTAAAAGACCTTTCATTGCCTGAAAAGAAAACAAAATTATTCCAAGCAAAACCTGTCCCTAAATCGGTTTACAGTGCAGCCATTAATGATAAATTAAAAGAAGAACAGCTTTATAGAGAAATTAGGATCCAAATGAGAGCTGAAGAGTTGCTACGCAATTCCACTCTTCCCAACAGTAGACTGGCTAGTAAAACTTTCAATAAGAAGAGGAAACAAAAGTGCAATGAACAGAAAGAAGTGGAGCATAAACCAAAGATCAAATCTAGGGTTCCAGACTTTGTAACATTACATCAAAAATTCCAGGATCGCCTCCTGAAGCAGAAACGTGTAAAGCACATCACAGTCTGTGAACCCTTCAATCTTCGTACTCCATGTATTCCGTCCAACAAAGGGAAGATTCTGCAGGATATTCAAGCAGATGAAGAAAAATTAAAAGAAACACGCTGGCCTTATGCCTCTCCAAGATGCAAACCTCAAATGAGGTATTCAAGTGAAAATTCATCTCCCTTGGGACACGACGATTCTAAATCTCCAAGAATCACAGAATCTACCAAAAGACGAATACAAGCTTTAAGGTGAATAGTTCAGTGGTACGTTACATAAAGTACAAGTTACTTTATGAATCCTTGAGAAAAGAGACTGAGTTTATGCCACCAAATATTTAATTCCTTTTTTGTTTTTATTGCTACTGTGGTTATTTTCATCCTTTGATGATTTTTTTCTAGCTGCTGTCATGTACTTTCTTTTTCTCCCATAGACATTTGAGCAAAAGGACTGTGCCAGTTGGTTCCCAGTGTATACCTGAAGCCCCCACTTCTCAAATGAAATATAAATATTCCATTGTCTTGTCTGACCCTGGTTTCCTCCCTACTACCTTCCATAGATCCTTCCTTATGTTCTCTCTAGATTAAAAGTAATTCAGCCTTAGTTTATTTTTCCACCCAGGACATCACTTGAGGAAAAGAGAAAGCTGGAAGAAGAGCAAAAAAGGAGCAGAGCAAAGCAGAAACAAAGAGCGAAAAAACTGCAAAAACTTATAACAACCCGGGCTGAGGCCAATGACCCACATCAGAGCCTAGCTCAGATGTCTAAATCCAAATTAAAAATAATCAGGTATTCTGCTGTATCCCTAAAATCCTGAACCCCTAGATACAAGTTGTATGTTTAACAAAATCCAGTAACAGTATAATATAACTATTAATATAATATAACTGTTGTATTATATTAATATAACTATTCATCTGTCATAAATTAGAATTGTCAAACATTCTTGATAGAAAAGGGTATGAGCGAGTACAATATTTTGATCAATCAGGAATTGAGAACAAGGGTCCATTAAGATGAATTCAGGTTTATATGCTGTTCCTTAAATTATATCACAGATAACAAGGCTGGCTTGTTTTTAAACCTGCATATAATCAAAAGAGGGAAACAGAAGTTGTCACTACAAAATTTATATGTAGCTACAGGCTGAACTTCTCTAGTCCAGCACCCTTTGGATCTGACCGGTGCCAAACCAGATAATTTGCCACACCGTGGGAGGTCAGTATTGTCTAGCAGCATTACCAACACTTCCACTGCTTATTGGGCTCCTAGAACAGTGGTTCCCAAACACCGGTCTGTGGACCAATGGCGGGCCACAAACCCCTGCCCCCTGGGCCACAGCACTCTGCCAGGCTGTGCCTCTAGCTGCTAATGAGGTCCGTTCCCTATAAGGTGCACACCTCTGCATGCACTACAAATTCTCTTGCCATCTGCTCACAGTGAGTGGCACTACAGACTTCCTTGTGTGCCACAGCTGGAGCCTGGCAGTGGTGAGGTTGTCCCTGCTGGGGCAGCTGCGTGCCCTGGCTAGTGGGGTCACGTGGCCTTTCTGTTGCGGGCAGCATGTTCGGGACGAGGGAGCGGAGCCTTTGCAGCCATGAGCAGCCCAGCCTTTGTCAGTACTGAGGAGAATCATGTTAGAGGCCCCAGGGAGCTGCGCTGGGTGTCTGATTTCCACCCCTCCTCTGGCAGGGCCCAGCTTACCCTGTGGAGTCTCCCCTGCTGGTTCCAGCCTGCACGACATGTCTGGCAGCTTCCCAATGTCCTAGAGCACTACAGCCAGCAGCACAGCTCGGAGTTGTGCGGGGGGATCCAGGCTCTCTGACTCAAACCAGCACGTGTCGGGGCTAGTTCTACCCGGCTGTCAGATGGGTGCCATGACCCTGAGATGCACACGGGCTGAGTGATTCTAGGCCTCGACTGTTAATGGCCTGTGGAGGAACACTTGAGGCACCAGAAACATGCGCCTGCCCCGTCCATTGTACTGCAGACACTGCCGATCCTGTGCATGTGTCGGGGGTTGGGCTGTTACGAGGCCTGGCAGGGCCAGGGGTGAGGTCTTCTGGGTGCAGAACAGTGGTTTGCTGTGCAGCATGAGGGCCACGTGGAGCTTGGCATGGCAGTTTTAGAGCAGCCACAGCTCGGGCAGCAGTGCTCAGCTGGCAGCTGGGAGGCAGCACAGAAGTAGGTGGAAGGGGGGGGCAGGCACTGGGGGCTCCAGAGTCAGGGCTAGTGCTGTAGGGTTCTCGGGGCAGGGCTGGCACTGGAGGGGCTCTGAGGGTGGGGCTAATATTGGGGAGTGAGGGCTGGGGCTGGGGGGGGGTGGGTATGTCTACACTTGCACCCTCTTTCAAGAGTGATGCAAATGAAGATATTCGAAATTACAAATGAAGCCAGGATTTAAATATCCCGTACTTCATTTGCATATTCACGTTATTGCGCTCTTTCGCACCCAGTCACCTGTACAGTTTATTTACACAGTGTAAATCCACCACCTCTCACCCCATGTCACTGTGGGTTCTAGCCTTAGGAACTTCTTATCTTGCAGCCAGTAGGGGAGAGCTACCGCTTTTCTTCCACTTTCTGGCATGGCCTTTTGAAACACTGATGCAGCTTTGTAAACTGAAAAGTGTGAATCTTAGAAGTGCCCGGCACTGTTTTGGTAGTCAGTCTCAGGTAAAGCTTAAACATAGATTTTTAACAGAGTTGCTAATGGGACTGAAGTGGGAAGGATTGTTCTGAATTTCAGAGCAATGTCCTTTGTCTCATATTGATCTTCCTGGCACACTAAAATGGTCCCAGTTAATGGGAAGTCACATTTTTCCCCTTTAAAAGGGTAACAATACCATAAAGTGACATATCATTGTGCACACAGTAGAATGTATGTAAGAGACTTTCTGTGATATGACAATCTCAGTTCATTGATCAAACCAAACCAGTTTTGACACACTCTCATCTCCCCTTCCAGAAGACAAACAGCATGAAGGGCAGCTAAAGAGCCTGTAAAGTTCATCTGAGGCAAGTGTGACCAAGTGCCCCCTGTATTTGGACCCTACACAACACTGTAATTATCTTTATACAAAATATGCCTTGTGTAAGCGGGGGAATGGTCCCGCTATTGTGGGGAACTTTCCTGGCTTCTATACAGCGCGGTGAAATGAACCAGCGAAAGGATCTGAGTCCCCGCTCCCACTTCCTTTACCCCACGGCTCCCTGATCCTGAGGGCTCCCCCTCCACTCTCCTGAGTAGCAGAGCCCTTGAAACCCCAACAAGGCTGGGCCCAGGTTTCCTGGGGCTTAATCCCTGACCTTGTAGTCACTAGGGGCAGGAGTTAGGGTGTCCCCACTCCGAGGTGCTCTCTTTACACTGCAGGCCTTCTTGGCCCAGTGACCACTTCATAAGGTTCAAAGCAAATACAATTTATTAAACATCAACTGATTAAAGAGAATAGAATAAGAAACAATGAGAATGGTTAAATGAGAACACACAGCCCTGCTCTGTAGCACAGGCACATCAACACAGCAGTCTGCAGAGTGTAAGGACAGTTCACAGTCTCTTCCTTAGAAGCCCTGGATGTGCTGCAAGGGGCTGCAGGCTGGACACGCTTGCACTGGCAGTGACCACACAGCCTCAGTCTCTAAGTGGCCAGACCCCTCTCCCAGTCCAGAGCCTTTCCCCACACTTTGCAGGTCCCAGTAGCTCACCACATCCAGCTGCAGGCTGTGCTGCTTGGCCAGTTCCAGCTCCTTGTGTTGTTTCTCTGTTCCTTTTGGCTTTCTGAGCACTGCCAGTCTGCTGCTCAACACAGGGTCTGCACTGCTTGGCCTGTCTGTGTCTGGTTCTGTCGCTGCAGGACTTCTTCTTGTACTCCTCTTTCAGCTCTCTGTCTTTGCAGGACCTCTTCTGCACACAGCTTGTTTGTTCAGAGACAGAGCCAGAACAATCCCCACTTACAACCTGTCAGTCAGGCTGAGCTGGAGTGTTGACTGCTTTCCATTGTCTCTGGGGTCTGTCAGTCTCATGAACCCTTCCCCTTCTGAAGCTGGTAAACCAAAAAACTCCCACAGAGTTTTAGTAAGGGGTAACAGTCCCCTTACAATAAG